AATGAGGGAGGAAAAACATGGAAGATTTTCTGTTGTTGTTGTTGTTAGTTGCAAAGTCACATCCAACCCATCGCAACCCCATGGACAACATTCCTCCAGGTCTTCTTGTCCTCCACCATCCCCTAGAGTCCCCTTAAGCTCACGCCGACTACTTCAGTGACTCCATCTAGCCACCTCATTCTCTGCCGTCCCCTTCTTCTCTTGCTGTCCATTGTTCCCAGCATTAGGGTCCTCTCCAGTGAGTCTTTCCTTCTCAATAGGTAGCCAAAGTATTTGAGTTTCATCTTCAGGATCTGGCCTTCTAAAGAGCTGTTAAGGGCCTTTAATCCTTCAAATGACTGTCAGTCCAGCCATTCACTGAGCCAGCAGGGCAGAGATATACATCAAAAGACTAGTCATCATAGGTGGCCATGGGTTCCCTTTTACAGAGGACAGTCCTCATTTTGAAAAGCTGCCAGAGAAATGTCTTCTGTTTGAAATGTGAGGGAAGGAATGCTGTAGTTGTCGCCATGCAGAGGAGGGTCAAGGTGGAAATCTTAACACTGGTCTTAAAAGTCTTAGCATTGGTCCTAAGAGAGCCTCCCTCCTCTTGGCCCAATCAGGTTCCCCCACCCCACGCCACAAATGAAGCTCCATGCACAGAAATTAGAGCCCTTTCTGGCATGTAGGAAATATGTCGGTGGGTGGCATGGATAACTCATACACCCCAACGTCCCCTTCCTTCCATTTTTTCAATGTATGAAGGGCGGGTGTCTGAATCTCCATCTAGCCAAGCAAGTCAAGAGCAAGGAAGGAGGTGAAACACAAGGAGCAACAACAGAACAATGCCAAGGAAAAACAAGATGCAGTGGTGCCTCGGCTCACGAATTCCTTGGTTCACAACCAAATCAGGTCCCATACAAAAATGTCATGAAAATTTTGACTTGGGTCACGAACTTCGCATTGGGTGGCAACCAAGTTCACAGCCATCTCCCCACCCCCGCAAGTGGGGAGATGGCCATGACCACAGTTGCGTTCGTGCAGGGAAGATGGGCGCAATCTCGGCCATCTCCCCCAACAACAAGCACAATCACGGCTATCTCCCCCCGACCCCCCGAGTGGGGAGAGGGCCACGATCGCAGTTGCGTTTGTGCACGGAAGACATAGAGGAGCTGACGACAGAAGACCCTGCTGAACTCCGGAGTGAGCAGCAGAAGGCACTTGCTGCGGAGGATTCCACTGAGGAAGAGGAAGATGGGGAGGAGATTAGCAGTGATGAGATACAATCCTTTATGAAAAAATGGAATGGGTGCCAGGATTTCTTTGAGAAGCACCACCCCAGCATAACTGTAACAAACAGAGTGTTGAATCTGATGAACAATAACGTGGTCTCTCATTTCCGGAGGGTTATGCAGCGCAGGAAAAAACAAGTGACTGTAGACAGATTTTTCACCAAAATTGACCCTGCAGCTAAGAGACAAAGAGGGGAAACCCCTGAAAGAGATCTCCCCAATGTCCTTATGGAGGGGACTCTCCCTCAAAACAATAACCTCCCCCCACCTAGGTTAGTGCTCTCCACTGTACTGTATAGTTCTTTGTCACTTTGTTTCAAAATTTTCTGATTTAAAAAAAATAGTTACAGAACGGATTAACCTTATTTACATTGAACCTTATGGGGAAATTTGACTTGGCTCGTGACCAAAAACTGGCTCACATTCCAGGTGTGTGTGGGGGGGGCGGCAGAACAGATTAACCTTATTTACATTGAATCTTATGGGGAAATTTGCCTTGGGTCACAAGCAATTTGGGTCACAACCAGAGTCGTGGAACGGATTAAGTGTGTGAGCCAAGGTACCACTGTGATTTGTTATAAACCATGTATTTAACTACAGCACAGATGATGGATCTCTTTCAGCCCAAGGTCCAAAATCCATTTTGTATAAGTTCATGGGTCCACATTCCAGTGGTTGGTGGGTGGGTGGGAAGACTAAGACGGTGGAACCAAAAGTATGCAAAATGATAGCAATTTTAGCATAATGTAATTACCGTCACAAAGAACTCCTTTCAAACGTTTAGAGTTGGAGGGTGGTAATGCACAAAAGGTAAGCAAACAACCAGTTTATCAGAGAATGGAGAAAGGACTATGGCCATCTAGGGGATTCTGGGGGTGGATTGGGAGCCCAGGAGGATCAGATTTTTTTCCATCTATTGAGACAGATGCCGTTATAGGAAGGATGCTACAAGTAGTAAGCCATTAATAAAGTGATAAATCACTATGAGGATAACATACTCTTGCACAAATAATGTAATCATGTGTGAATATATATGATTTGTAATTTAATAGCCAGCACAGAATGCAATGTTTAGATTTCTATTTATTAGAGAATGTCATTCACGAAACATTCTATACATCCAGAAAACATTAGTACTTTGGAATTTTTTGCCTTGTATCTTGAGCCAGGAGAAGTCCACTGGTGACCTGCAAGAAATTCTTTCAGCGATCACAGCCTCACCAACTTTTAACGAACGTGTGCGGAAAGGCACTGTCTAACATCACTCTGCAAGCATAATCCCAAATCCCAAGTGTAGACTTCTGCTTATGAAACAGAGGTTTCCCTGACTCACCTTTCCCCAGAACAACCCCATCACACACACACTCCCCAAACCTGCGCCAGGAGCCCTTCAACCATCCAGAACAGATTCGGTTTGGATGTACAAGGGTGGCAAAGGGAAAGATGCCACTGGATGCAACTGCATATTCTGCATTTCAACTGTGTATTTGAAGGTTACATGTCTCTTCTTTTGGGTTTTCTATATAATGCCTCACCTGATCATCATTTGGACAAGTTACTTGGCTTGAACCTCCTTGAAGGATCTTGGCTGTGTCTACTTGGTTCCCTGTCAGGTCAACTTTGTACTGTTTTATCTTTAACCTAGTTAAAGTTATGGTATAAAAATTATATAAATGGATAAATGCATGACTCAAGTAGTTTACAGTTCCTGATAAAAAGTGTATCCTTTTGATCTTAACACTTGGTTCCACAGCTGCCTAATTTTAGCTTGTGGGATGTTAATTGACCCCTTGCTGAAGATTTGGTAGCATATATTTGTCTGACAAATGGAATGCTATGAGATGGACACTCTGAGTATATTAGACCAGATTGTATTTGTTGAATAGATTTAGGGTAATTGATACAAAGGGTCAAATGTTATTACTTTAGTGACATGGGTTTGGATTCTGTCCCTTTCTCTTCAGATTGTTTTCATACACATGAACAGCAGATAAGAATCTAACTCCATGTTTAGGTATCTTTCCAGTTATCCTCAATTTCCTTTTTCCTGTATCCTTAGTTGAGCCACCACCTGTGCTGGCAGGTAGTGATAGCTCAACATCTGTTCAGACTAGCTGAGGCGCAAGTGTGATCATTGCACTGCCGACCTTGCAGGGTGATAACAGCAAAATCCCTTAAGGTTTCATTTAAAGCAGTCAAATTGGTAAGTGCAGGATCAATGAAAGGCGGAACGACATGCAATGCTCAGCTAAGGACGGCTTGCCAGTGTAGATCTATGTCTACTTCTCCTTCCTTTCACTGTAGGGTCTAAATCAGACTTAGGCACTAGTCCTGATAGGGTCATATGACTTCTCCATGACTTTTAGCAATCCAAAAAATGTATGCCATGAACATAGGAAAAGCTCCACTGTATCATGCTGGGAACAATTGACGGCAAAAGGAGGAGGGGACGGCAGAGGATGAGGTGGCTGGATGGAGTCACTGAAGCAGTCAGCATGAGCTTAGGTGGACTCCGGGGGATGATGGTGGACAGGAAAGCCTGGAGGAATGTTGCCCATGGGGTCACGATGGGTTGGATGTGAGTCTGCAACTAACATCAGATGAAAGGCATATCCAGCACAGTATTCAGCTCACACAGTAGCCAACTGACTGTCCAGCAGCAACTAGCGACAATGAACATCACTGCAGCTCACCAGGAAGGGATTAGCTCCCAATGTTCTGGCTACTGAGATAGCTTTAACACTGGTCTTAAAAGGATAGGCTTTCCTGGTCACTGATTGGGGTGGGGGTCATTCTCTTCCAAGGTTCACACTCCTCTGTCAAGTTTCACCAGCGCCACCATAAATTTGAACTGGCTTTCCTTGCTGCTATATACAGGATCAATCTTCCTCAACAGTCACCCAAGCCTGAACCTTGGTTTCCTGCTTGCACTTTCTGTCCACGTTCTTTAATCTTTCAGCTATATGCCTGTATAGGAAAAGACTTGGCAAGCTTTAACGCGTTTCAACTTATGGAAGCACTGTAAGGATGGCATTTAGACAACAATATATGTTTATTAGCAGCTGAGAGCAGACATGGTGCAGTCACTAGTGCTGAACTCGAATTAGGAAATCAAAGACTTGGCCATGAAGTGCACTTGGTGACTTTGGGACAGTCAGTGATTCGCAGCCTAGCCTACCTCACAGGGTTATTGTAAGGATACAATGGAGAGGAAGATTATGTAAGTTGCCTTGGGTTCTTTTCAGGAAAAAAGGATAGAACACTAATAATTATTCCTTCTAATTATTCCTGTGTAAACTGCTATTGCTATGCCACAATTGTTGTCTTATCCTTTAATTTTCTATTATGGCAACATTTCCACTTATTTTCCATTATCCCAGCCAATCATTACATGTATTTCAATTGTACTTTCCCATTTATGTTCTGTTCTCAGATCTCATTCATACATATGTTCCCTATATTTTCCGAGTCTACATATGTCCATCATTTATCACTGAATAATCTTTCAAATCTATTTTACTAATTAGATGTGAAACTGATCTTTTCACTGAAGGCAGCTAGAGTATTTACAGTGTTTCTCTCAGCTACCCTAAGTCTGGAAAATGCTGGGTCATTTGTTACATTCAGGAGGTTCAACTGGTTTTCTACCTCTGCTGAAAGTAGAGAATAAAAAATTGTTAAAAGTATACCAAATTATCAATAAAAGAAAGACACACCAATATAAAAGAGTCCAGTATTCATACTACTATATTTATTCCAATGTTAAAACAAACAGAACTTTATTTTAGAGAAATTGTGTGTATGGGTGTGTGTGTGAGAGAACATGTTGTAGTTAGTGCTGCTACATGGAACCTGTCTCAAAAGCAACACTCTGCTTCCAAGAGATGTGCTCACAGAAGTGGAACTAATGAAGTATACATATCTTTAGATTAGAATGTTATGAGCTGACCAGAACAACATAGCCCTTCACCAGAAACGACTCCATGAAAAACGCAGCAAGGTTTTCAAGAGAATCTGAAGAGGCCCAAATGTTAGATTCCTATGAGAAGTGTCAAAATAAATACTCTCAGTTCCCCATTTTGAATCAACGCAATACTTTAACCCATCACTGTAGCTTCTGTAAGTCAAGTGGATTTTCAAAATCTTTTCACCCTTGTTCCTTTCAAGAATGGGGTGATGTTAAGGCAGGGGTCAACGTAACTTGATTTCCACTTTCAATCATCAGCTTATGCCTTCCAGCTTGTAAACTCGGCAAGCTAATCAATTATGCTTTAGTGAAGGGTGAGTAAACTAATCTGCAAAATTACATAGGAGATGATGACTTCCTCCCACCATCTGGCATTGATTTTTGTTCTTCTTTCCCTAAGTGTTGGAAGTGCACCACTCTGCACAGTATTTTTCTTAAACTCACTAGCATACTTCAAAACTTTTCTATGTACAAATCACATGAGTGAAGTGTAATTGCTGAAGGTTCCTTCCAGAGGATAAGGTATCAGTCTGCACTGGTAAGAAATGAGTCACTTCCTTCTTTTTGGGTTGGCAGCCATGTAGAGGGCTATGAGGCAGTAGATGGTCCCACCTATTGTTAGCGCCATAGTGGTCCGATAAAGAAGCTGGTCAGGAACACCACGTTTCAGATGTACCGGCAGACCATCAGGTTTCTAGCAATAAAGTATATTGAGACATATTAAGGAAGGCATGCTTTCTTAAGAAACAGAGAAAGAAAAGGCAGTTTATGCAAGACTTGGCCAAAAACTCTTAAGCTGGGACAAGCAGCTAGCTTTTCTTCAGTGAAAAGGCCTTCCTTGCCTTCTTGCAATCAAACTATGTGTCTAGATTTGATAAATTCCTCATCTGATACTTTGTGCAAGGATCAACATCCTAAAAAGTTATCTCAATCCTGCCACTACCTCCTAAGTACGACTCTACCCATGACAGGGAAGACATTCTTGAAACTAATGGTGACTGGTGAAATTAACCAGAGACATAGGCAAAGAAATATTCTCAGTGTCAGATGGTATGGCTTCAGTGCCCTGTCCTTCCCTGTGACAGCAGAAAGATTAATCAAATCAAGCAAATACGGGCATTTGCATTGTTTGTACAGCTTGTCAAGTATTAAGGCTGACAGAGAAGGCTTTTTTGGCTAATTTAAATGCAGAACACACGCAATCCTGCAGATATCTATCATGCTGCCTCCTGAGGATCTGGGCACTTTTAACACAGAACCTCACCTCAGCACCACGTCACTGGTCCAGTGCTTTCAGTAAGCTCCATTACAAATCCATGCAATAACGGCATGAATTTCAAAGAAGAAACTGATCTGATTGCATTTGATTGTGGGCGGCTTGCACTGCATTTAGTATTTAAGCAGCTGCACACTGAAGTCTTTCCTCCCTCTTCCGAAGCTTTAGTTGTCATGCTTTGACATCAGGGAGAGACCACAGCTCACTGACAGAGCTCACAATTTGAGTGAAGGTCCCAGGTTCAATACCTGGCACCCCCAGGTAAAAAAAAGATCAGTTCACAGATGATGGGAAAGTCTGAAAACTTGGGACATCTAAACAGAAATACAGCATAAGATACAAGGTGGCTTCTTAGATTCATGTCTTCATTACACTTCGTGTTCTCCATAGAAGCAGTCAGTTCTATGGAGCACAGCTAGGGGAGCACAGAATAGCACCATGAGTTAAATCCTATTGTGTTAAGCATTCTACCCTATCTAGAATGTATGGAGAGGAAAGGGAGCGAAATATGGTGCTGTTTTCAGTGGCAGCCATATATCTGACGTCTCTGACACCCCATCATGCCTGCAGTACTTATTAACAAAGAATGTTCTACAGGACAGTCTTTTAAGGGCACAATCCTATGCAGATCTGGATAGAAATAAATCCTGCAACTCCTAATATCACCCAGACAACAGAGAGGGCTCAGGGATGCTGCTGCAGGACTGTTTTCTGTCTAAATACGAATAGGACTGTGTCCTGAATAACTGTACCACATGAGATGCTTTTCAGCCCAGTAACACTAAACTTGGAACAAGGTAGGTGGGAGAACTTAATTAAGTGATGTTTCTTACACACACACACACACACACACACACACACACAGACTTTTAGGGATTCAAAGATATGGTCAGAATCTGACTGTTCAGACTTCTTTCCTACACTCCTCTCTGATCAAGAAGTGAGCCAAGCCAAGCCTGCAAATGCTCAGGATTGCTAGCAGACCCCCTCTTTGCACCAAGTATGCAGAGCCCGTAAGTCACATGTGGGGAAGAGAAAATGCTTCCACAGTGAGTGCAGGGCAGTGGGAGGTATGTGCACCTGCCAGCCTCATGGACTTGCTTGGACTCACTTCCTGCCAGGTGCCCTCATGGGCACTCAGCACAAGGCAGACTTAGAGCGGGGAGAAGCAAGCCAGGGTCCAGGCAGCCAAGTTGAGAAAATCAGATGGATTCCCACTGACAAAGCAGATTCCTCAAACACTGATAGGAGACATAGATAGAAAACAAGATACAAACTAATAATAAAGCAATTATAATAAAACTGTAGCATAAGCTTCTGGAATTCATTAGTCTGTACATAAGAGGTTAATAGCTGTAGGATTCAATCTAGTTATATAATTCCCATTTGTAAAGCAGACTGAATATGCCAAGCTTCTGTAGCAGAGTGGAGAAGAAAAAGAGTGCTGCATTTGTTTTCCTTTGTATTGGTATGCAGTCTTTAGCATGCTAATGTTAGAAAAGTGGAATACGGAATTCAATATGTTTTTTTGTTCTATTAAGCATGTGTATTAGAATCTGGTGCAGAATATTGAGAAACAAAATTTTTGAGGCACAACAATAAGAGATGAACTTCTCTAAGAACATAAACTGAACCTCTCCCCCCATGTTCTTACCTGAAAAAACTTTTGCAGTTCTACCACTCTGCTTTTACCAAAATGCTCAACTGTTGATGGAGCTTCTGAGGCAATTTTCGTTGGCGTTTCAAGTATCAAAGCTGGTGATTCCGTGGACACTATTGGCTTGAGTCCCTGCATAAAGAAATCAAACTCATTTCTACTGAGCACATTTCCAGTAACTATATAGCTTGTATCTATGCTCTGTGTGAAGACTACACTCGGTGTGAATAAACTTGGGATTGCACCTTCCCAAGCCAACTGTATATGTAGCTACAATTTTTGCCTGCAAATGGCAATTCATGCCTGTTCTATGGGAGCGAAGGGAGACAGTGGTGTCCTGTCCATCAGCTTTGCTGCAATCAACTACCTATTTTCCTCAGCGCGCATAACTCAGAACTATTTGCTGTCAGTGGCCATTATAACTGCTATTTATAACTTCTGGCACTTCTGAATTTGCTTACTTTGCTCTTTCCTCCATCTTTGCATCAAGGCAGTTGTGTGCTACCCTAGCAGGGAACCTCTCTCAAGAATGCATTCTGCCTGTTGTGTGGCAACTGAACTGGCTGCCAATTCATGTACAAGGCTGAATCAAGGTGCTGGCTGCTACCTTTAAAGATGTTTGTTATGGCCTGACACCCACAGAGCTCATGCTATCTGCTGCTTATGTTCTGCAGAGTGGGCCACTGGCTGGTCATACCATACTGGAGGATCAAGCAACTGCTTCAGCATTTGTTCTGGAATAACCTCCAGCTAATTCCAGAGAAGCAGGCAAAACCTTCCTCTGGCGAATGGCTTACAATAGCTGAATGGATGCTTCTACTACAGGATTGCTCTACTTTTAAGATTGCATTTATGGATCTAGTATTTTATTACTGCTGCTTTACTGTCTGTTTTTCTAGAAGTGTTCTTATGCATCAAAATGTGTTAAATAATAATACCCTGCTAGTTTTCCTCAGTGGGTATGTTTGCACTCATGAACCTGGGGGAAGGGGTTAGAATAAAGAAGGATCAGATGACAGGCAACAAGAGAAAGGTAGCTAATCCCTTAGCGGGATGAAGCTCTGATGTTGGACGCATCACCTTATCCTTCCCTGCCCTTTCCAGCACAACCTTATGCAGAAGTAAACTCCACTACATTTGATCCAGTTTACTCCCAGGGTAAACGTGCACTGAATTGCAGTTGATTTAATAGTGGTGGGCAACTTGTGGCCTACAACATCTATCATTCTTCACCACTGGCTAAGCTGGCTAGGGCTGATGGAACTTGTAGGCCAACACATCTGGAGGACCACAAGTTGCCCACCTCTGCAGTAAATTATATGGGAACTGATCCAGTAATGTAAGTACAGCAAAATGGGGAAAGGTGGTTCCTAGCCAATCAGTCATTTAGCCTTTATTTCCCAGGAGTCTGGGACATGATTATTAACATCCCTTAAAAGAAACACACACCACTTAAATTAAGAGCAGAACATGCTGCCTTCACAATGCAGTGTGTCTCCCTGTTTACCAAGGAGTGCTAATGGATAGCCCAAAGGCAGTTAATTGAGCAAGGTTTTACTTAGCACAGAGGCAATTTGCAACTCACTCACTCCTGAGCACTGAATTTCATAGGTCTAGCATAAAGTAAACAGGCTACAGAACAGAACCACAGTTACCTACATAGAGATTCTCTGTGTTGTTATTCCAGACAGTAAGTGTGAGCACAGTATGTTTGGTATTAAATTTGCATTTTAACAAGGCTAATAAGTGCATGCTTGGAATGAGTATGTACTAATTACTTTCTGTTTGTACATCTATCTAGCTGCCTGCCAATCAAGGGCATTTTTAAATATAATTTTCACACTTCAGGTTAGAGTAACTTTATATCAAACTTTATATTTAAAAGCATGCAGTAGGAAATTTGTTCAGCTCCACAGGTTCTATTAGAACCTATCCCAAGACAGATCTTGGATGCTGCATTGCATATACATAAAACATAAACATATGTATTTGGAAATGTTGCGTGTCTCAAACCACGGGTTGCATATTTCTTTCAAATATGTATACACAATAGAGTTAACTCTACAATCTGTGGACCCCTCAGGGTATTGTTTAAAGTACTATTATATTATAAATATTCTATTTGGCGAGAAGCTGTGTTATACATGCTTTTATACAAAAGGTAAAATTTTAATAAAAAACCTAGAAAAGCAAGCTAAACAATTATTTAGCAGTCCCAAAACAGCCAGAGATGAGTAGCTTTCCACATCAAAGAGCAAATCTTCCACCAGAGCAACATATCCCTCTATGCCACCATCCCAGACGCTTATGACAAAGGCATCTTCTGACTGCAGATGACTCATAAGCAGACTATCAGGAGAGCTAGTCCCTTGGATAAGCAGCTTCTTGGTCTGTGAAGTTGTAGTAGGTCAAAACTACTATCCTGAATTGGGCCCTGGACTATAAAGCTACTGCAATACTCACTGAATAGGCTTGCTATGGCCATTGAAAGGGCAGGAGTATATTCACATAGGCCGAGCCCTTATGATCACCTTCTCCATATATTCAGATATAAATAAATGAAAACATTGGAAAGCCAATGTCAACTGGATGTTCCATGTGGCTTAGTTGAGCAGGAATTCACAGTACAGTATCAAAAATACTATCATATTGTACCATTACTATATTTATTCATAAGTAGAATACCTTAGATTAAAATACTGACAGAGCTTTCAAAATCCTGTTCAAATACCATTCATATGAACTGCTTTCATTTGATTCTGATGTATTAAAAATCTCATATACACATCAACAGCCTCCTCAACTACATCACTTCATACAATAATGGAGACTTTATTTAGAGTGCTCTAAAATGAAGAAATTCCTCCCACTGAAGACCCACCACAATCCAAGCCTAAATATTTTCTAAAAGTGTCTTAGCAGTCTTAGGCTAGGGTTAGGAAAGATTTAAAACACAAGCCAGTCAAAAATCAAAGGAAAGGAGAGATCTCAGCCTGTATGCTTACATCAGCCTAATTTCAACATTTCACTGCTCCTGTTCAAAGTTCTGCTGTTTAAGAGCAACTACTGAAAACTTCTTACATTCAGCAGGCTGACTTTTCTTAACATTTGTCAGCTGTTTGATGGAGCATGGAAGTTTAATTTCTGCTTCTTAATTACAAAGAACTGAACTTTGTGTATTCAGATGTAACTTTTGTTACTCCATTTTCTAAAACATATCTGTTAATGAATATCACACTTCTAAAATGCCATTCCATTATGTTAGATCTTCTTCTAATATACCATAAGGAATAGCCTTAGTTTTAATGTTACTCAAGACGGAGAGAAGAAATTACTGTGCTGGTGGAAGACTTCTAGCCAGAGCTCACGCAAGAACTTTTACTGCCTAAGATAAAGCAGCAAATGACAAACCTCTTCGCCAAGCCATGGAACTGAAGGCTGGCCACGTGATTTCAGTGCTTGAAATGGAAAATCCCACAAGCACTTCCCTCACCGTAAAAAGACAACAATCAGCAATCAATAACATTTTGCTCCCTTTTCACATCAAATGTTTGCTGCTTCAGGCAGCTGCCTCACTCTACCTAGTGGCAGAGCCAACTCTGCTCAAATTTTCATCACAGGCAGTGTTAGGTGTTCAAATTCTATATTGGACTGGACTGCTGCAGAACAGCAGCATTTTATAGAGTTTAGTGCCCATTATTTTCTTCATAGTTGCATCCCACTGCATAGAGTTGTGTGCCAATAAGCCAAGATAAAAACAAGCCTTGGAGAATGCATACAGCTTTTGTTCTGCCCACCTTGAATGAACAAACTAAGACCTTGGCAACGGATGACAGTTTCTCATTTCATCCCAACTAAGAAACTATGGTTACTGGCTCCAGAACAAGGGAGATTATTAAACCAACTTCAAAACAGAATTTAATAACTGAGCTTGTTCCAAAGCCATTTCCCATATTTTCTTGGTTTTGGCAAAGCAGGAAACTACAATTAAAGGAAGACTACCTGGCATGTTCACTCAAAGGAAAGTGCAAAGGGGATGAGTATGTGGCAAAAATGTTTATTCATATTTTGACTTATTAAGCTGAGATACAATCATCTGATCACTACGTATAGACATGAAATCTGGACAATGAAGAAAGTTGACAGTAAGGAAAAAGATGTGTTCATAATACGGTGCTGGAGAAGAGTGCTGCAAATCTCTGAGGCATCAGAAAGACAAAAAAGTGGGCCCTAGATTAATTAAGCCAGAACTCTGAAAGCAAAAATTGAAGCTGTCATACTTTGGGGACATCATGAGAATGCAAGACTCACCGAACAGGAGTCATGCTAGGGAAGCTGAAGGCAGAAGATGACGACAACCAGCTATGAGACGGATCAATTCCAGAGGGAAAGCCATAGCTTTGTACTTACTAGAGTGAAGAAGGGCTGCCAAGGATGGGACATTTTGGAGGGTCTATATACTTTGGGGTGCCCTAAATCAGGCATGACTTGATGGCATGTAGCAACAATGATCATCTTTATATGGCCTTTCAGTTTTGGGAAGGGATCTATCTTCAGACTTCCATATAGCCTAAAGTGCCTGATTCTGCTTAATTTTGGAAGCTAAGAAGGGTAAGGTCTGGTTAGAATCTGAATGGGAGACTGGAGTCCTGCAATGAGAGGGCTGGATCCCATGTCCTTCTAGGTGGGATTGGACTTCACAGATAACATCCAGAAATGGTTGACTACCAAGACAGCCATAAATTGTGGATTCCTAGAGCAAAAGGGTGGAAATGAAATGAAACAGATGGGCAACCACTTCACTACAAGTTAATTTCAACTAACATTCTGACTCCAAAAAGATCACATGAATCAGCTTAGGAAGCCTCAGTAAGCAGAGTGCTTTCAAACCCTTAAAACCATTCTTAAGAGATTTAGAGGTTCATCTGTAAGCTGAAAGAAACCAGCAGAATTCAGCTGTACATTTACACATTAGTAGCACTAATATTGATTCAGGTTTGTTTCTACTCTGCATTGAATCAGGGTGCTGAGATCTTCAATAGCAAGACTGGTGGTGGGGAACAGATTCCTCTGTGCGTGTAGTGTTGTTATCCCCCCTCCCCACCCCGCCACATGTGTCAAGGCTTGTGTGTTATCTAGTAGTTTATGAATATATTTCTGATTACAAGGTCTGAGTAGATTAGACATTAATCTCACTGCTGCAGGCAGCCACGCATCAGAGCCTTTTCCATGCAGCTTTCATAGCTTTGCTGATGCAGAGAATCCTATCACAGGTGACACAAAATAACAACCAGCTAAGACTTAAGCCATTCAGTCCTAAGGGACACGTTATTTCCTCAATTGAGAGGCATTGGCAGAGAGGAGAAGTCACTGCATAGCTTCTGCCACTTCCTAAGCCCTTTAGCCTCCTTGAGGAAACCTTTTCACTTATGTAGCCCTTTTCAAAAACAAACAAAAAGAAAAAAGAAAACAAAAACAAGGAAACATTTTTTTTTCATTTCTCTATTATTTTTTAGCTGAAGCTCTCTGGGCAATTTACCTCAATGTAAACCATTAACACCAATGAGGGCCAAATTAGCTTCTGTTCTGTAACAGTTACCTCTCCTCCTATTCCATGATTGCTAAGTTTACTGAGGGGACTTCATTAGTGAGGAATGTTGTTAAAACCATTTTTTGGGGGGTGGGAAGGGAGTACAAGTTAGCAGAGTCTACCCCTGTCCAAATGCTCATTGACACTCTCAAAGAACTCTAAAAGGTCACGGAAATTGGACCCACCTTTATGGAAATCATGTTGAAATTTTATCAACTGGGTTTCCTCTTCTAAACATGTTCTCATTTTATCCTGAATAAAACTTTCAACCAATTTGCCCAGAGCAGATGTTAAGCTAACAGACCTGCAATTTCCCAGATCCCCCTCAAATTCCTTTTTAAAAATTGCAATTACATCAGCCACTTGCCAGTTCTCTGATACAGAAGATATTAGGGACTTGCTACATATGTTTGTTGGAGGACCAGTAATTACATATCTAAGTCCTTTAAGAACTCTAGGATGGATACCACCTAGATTTGGTGATTTATTAACTTTCAATTTATCAATAAAGCTGATAACTTCATCTCTTGTCATCACTATTTGCCTGACATAACTGCAATTTATTATAGTCACATTTTATTGAGCTGGGTTTTGTTTTTGTAAATGGCTCTCATAGTCATTACTGAAAGGAAGTATGTTTATTAAACAAGCAAGCAAAACCAACCTCTCTCTGAGTTAAAGCGGTGCCTGTGAATGAAACCTATGGCCTTTCACCTGCACACTGAGTTGTTCCATCTTTTGCCAAGAGAAGTGGCAGTCTTACACATAACAACATAAGAAAAGTCACGATGGATCAGACCAAAGGTCCATCTAGTCCAGCCAGTGGCAAACCAGCTGCCCAGAGGATCCCTCCAGCAGGATAGGTGTAAGACCTTCTCTTCTGCTGCTCCTCAGCAAGTGGTGCATGCAGGAACCCAACTCTGGTAAAGGAAGAAGCACAGAGCTATCAAGGCTAGTAGCCACTGATAGCCTCCACCCTCAGGAATCTGCCCTTCTCTGAATCTTTTCCAACTCAATAATGTTTTTTTTCAGGTAAGGTGACCAGAACTAAGCACAATATTCCAGGTGTGGCTGCACTAAGGATTTGTATAAGGGAAGTAAGGTTTTGGTAGTTCGGCTTTCTATCCCATTCCTCATGGTGCCTAGCAGTTTGCCTTCTTCACAGCAGCTCAGCACTAGGCCAACGTTTTCACTGAACTGTCCACCACTACCCCAAGATCCCTTTCTTGTTCAATCACTGCTAGTTCAGACCCCATCAACCATATACTTGAAGTTGGGATTTTTTTTGCCCCAACATGCATTACTTTGCACTTGGTTATGTTGAACTGCATTTGCCATTTTGATGTCCATTTTCCCAGTTTGGAGAGATCCCTTTGGAGCTCCTCACAGTCCCTTCTGGTTTTAACCAACCTAAAAATGTAGTGTCACCAGCAAACCTGGACACCTCACTACTTGTTCTTAATTCCTGATCATTTCTGAATAGGTCCTGATACAGAACCTTGTGGGACTCCACTAGTGGCATCTTCATCTTGAGAACCAGTATGTTGTAGTAGTTAGGACTGCAGGACTGGGACTCAGAAAATCTGGGTTCTAGTTCCCACTCAGTCATGGAACCAGCTGAGTGACTTTGGGCTAGTCACAGCCTTATAGTCCAACCTACCTAGCAGGGCTGTTGTTGTGGGGATAAACTTGAGAGCAGGAAGTGGAGAATGATGGAAACTACTTTTGAGTTTTTTGTAAGAAAAAGGCAAAACTGAAATCTAATAAATAAATGTATAAAGTGCATGTCTCAATTTACAAATATACATGCAATATTATAAAAAATAACCATAATCTAAACAGCAATGTGGTATATCTGGTCATGATGGAGGATTTAATGTGGCCAAGTGGCGTGCATGCATGCATGCCTGTTCAGCCCACTAGCCTCAAGTTTCAGGAATTCTCAGGATTCTTTGACATCAAGCTTGGGCTTCAAACATAAAAGAACAAGTGCATGCCTCTTGTGGGCCAAAACATCCGAGGAACCACAGCTCCCATCAGCCCCTGCCAGCACAGCCAATGGTGAGGGACAATGGGAATTACAGTCCAACACCATCTGGAGGCCTACAAGGAGCAGCCCCCCAAGTCAAGCTGTGCCCTCTGTAAGAGGGCGCAGGGCCACCATGCCTGAAGATCGTCCAGCCCAGCCAGTTCACCTTTCCTTTTTCAATCAGCCACAAGCCAGAAAGAACAGGAGACACCATAAGCAGCCTTCCAGCCAAAAAACCAAGGGCAGGAGCCATGTGCTCCTCCTCGCCCATCCTTTCTCATTCTCTAGCTGCCCTGCGACAAACGCACTTCGTGAGGATCCGCTTCCTCAGTCTCCCCACTCCCCTCCGTAGTAAGGTTGTGAAGGTCAAGTCCCCCTGCGAAGGGCCAACATGTGCTGCTCGTTACCTGCGGGGTGTAAGCAGTGGAAGCGCCCACCCCAACCAGCCTCTGTGTGAAGCCGCTGAACTTGTAATACATAGCGGGCCCGGGAGACAGGTCCCTCGCTCCGCGTCCGCCGCCCCGCTTCGCCAGCCTAGCGCACAGGCAGGCAGCCGGTTGCGACGCGTGCGAGGCAAAGGGCCTCTTGCGCGACGGGCTTAGTCTTGGACCTCTACCCTGAAGGGGTCCGACTTTGTGCCTGAAAAAAAATGTTTCCGAGTGAAAGCAAGGCGAAGCTACAGCGTTTAATTGAAGGCTCCAAGGAAACTACAGAACAGAAACTTCAGGAATGGCGTTGACATTTTCTTTGCCGGTTTTGGAAGAAAGCAGCTTTTCAACCAGGCAATAAAGCAGCCAGCCCAAAAAGAATCTACTGCGGCTGCGTAGTTATGTGCTTTTTGCCGCTCTAGAAACGGAGGGTAGGAATCGCAATGTCGTGATTGTTGGCTGGGAGACTTCCAGGTTGCTTTCGATGGGCTTTCCCTGGACGGAAGTGAGAGTTACCCATTGAATAGAATGCAGAAATCCAGAATTTTACCGTGGCACCATGTATTAGCAATAAAGTCAGCAACAAAGGCTATTCTTTTTAAATCTGATTTTTCTTGGTTTATACAATTACGGATTCCTCCCTCGCTTTTTAAACTGTTTTTTTAAATCCCCAATGGCAGTAATTCCACTGCCCTTTCCGCCAGCCCTGTAGGATAGTCCACTGCAAGGACGTCATGCTCTCTCTTGGGTATGTTCCATGTTCTTCTATCTATCTATCTATTTATTTATTTATTTATTAAAACATTTCTATGCCGCCCCTTGCCGAAGCCTCGGGGCGGCTCACAGCACAGAATAAAATACAATAAAATACAAAAATAACAATATAAAACCCAATATAAAATAAATAACAATATAAAAGAAGTCGCCCTGGCCAGATAGGGGCTCCTCCCTCCAGAGAGACCAAATATATAGTAGCCGACATTGGTAGCAGAAAATTGGTGGTGTATATGGCTAAACTTGATTTAAAGTTTACAGTTTTCCTGTACGAATCCTTTGATGAGGCGAAGAGTCCAGAATCAACCAATCGGCGGCAGGGAGGAGCGGCTCGTTGACTTTAGCCCGGCAACAGTTGCTAGGGGCGATGCTTTAACGTCGCGGCGGCTTTTTATGGCTGCGCTGGCATTTTACAAGACGAGACCAAAAGGAGAAGGAAAAGAAAGGAGGCGAGTTGGGAATCACGCAGTGGAACAAAAAGCGAGTTGCAATAGAAATAATATATGTGTTGCTGCAAATAATAAAGAGAATATGCATTTATTGTAAATATTTGTTTATTTGCTTGGAGTGCAATTCTTTGAAAGTTTAGACACAAAATGGACCTACAACAAACATCTGACCCTGAAAGGATTTTATCCTACTTCTCAATCCAACAAGGTTCCTGGAATGGTTTACAGTGTATGAGCAAAACAAAACAGGCACATCGCACAAGGAAAAGGAAAAAAGGCCGGCACAGCACTCTACATTTTTAGCAGAAACAGTCCTGCAGAATTCTGGGAATTAAAGGGTTTTTGTTTCTGCTTACACCTACCTAGGAGTGCATCCTAAACAGGCTTTTTGCTTTCCTCTCCAAGGGTGAGTGCAAGCAATCCAACTAGAACTGGTCCTTTGCCTGTTTGAGTCTCCCTTGCATTTCTTCCTTCCCACAGAGAAGCCAATTTCAGTTCTATGCGTTCTTTGTATAGTAAATGCAAATAGACTCACTGGCCTATTAGAAAAAAATTATAAAGGAAGTATAACATAATTCCCTATTGATCTCCACCAAAAGGCATTTGAGATGGGTGTTTATGGCATAAGCAGTTATAGAGATATAATCTATACGATGATATATGTCTCCTGAGTAAGTTCCATTGAATTTAATGGACTACTCCCAGGAAAAAATGGTGAGAGAAGAGCAGACCAATTGTGTATTTCTCTACGGTTCAGAGAAATTAAGACTGAGGGCCTGAATTGGCATCCACCAATAATCCTGCCTCATAAATACATGAATCAGTAAAGGAGACATTTCCCAGAGCAACCTAAATGCAAACCAGACGTTATTCTTTTGAGTGTCCCATTCAGGCATAGGTGAGACAGTCCTGTGTTTGTACTCATTATTCAAACCTGATGTTTCAATAGCAGCAGCACTTCCAAAGTGTGCACTTTGTCTTTTCAGGTTTCTTTTTAGCACAACTGATGGGTAAAAGGTCTTTCTACTATCTTGTGGAAGGAATTGCTCAGTGCACAAAAACTTATCAGGCAAGAGATTCTGTTCAGGACAAATATCTGCTCCTCAAGTTCCGTGAATGTACCCACGATGCAGCTCCATTCTTCAGTCACAAGGAACGACTGAGTGGGTGGATTTAGCATAGGAACATGGCTTATGTGCTCCGGCTCGTTTATGCTGCAATCATTTGTAAAAGCCTTGATACTGGAAGATTGGCAGTGGGCATCTGCCAGACTGTGTTTGTTATTAATATGCACAGCAAACTGGCAAAATATTTCTGAAGTCATTCCTGAAGACAAAAGAAACGATTTAGCACTCACTCGAGCCTAATGTCGCAAGATGAAGTCATAGCTGGTTTGAAATTGTACCAGGATGTCTAAAATGAGGTTTGCTGCAATCTCAGGGGTAATTCATGATGGGGGGAGTTGGCACCTGTTGCAGCTGAAAGGCAAGTCTTGCCTGTGCGATTTAATGCATGCCTACAGACTGCTTACTCAATTCCTCAGTAATCAACTCTTTCCGCTTCTGAGTCCACCAACGAAGCTGCAGCCATTCCCAAGAACACTCTGAAAAAAGAAAGTGTTAGAGGCAGGTCTTCTTCAGAACCACGCTTAGCCTGATGCAGGGGAGATAACAAAGGGAATTGCCTCTGAGTACGTGCAGTGTTCCATTCCTTTCCTTCAGGACTGCAGCTAACCTTTGGGGCCACATGAAGGCTTCGCCCGGATTTGCTTGTATGTGTATGCCATGCCTACTGTGGGTAACCTGACGTGGGGTGCTGGATTCAGATCCTGCCAAGTTTATTCCCCTACCAAGACATGGTCTAAAAGAAAAGCAGTGTAACTGGCACTGAACCAGTTTGCATTTGGTCAGTACCTGCCCAGGCAGGCTCTAGTTTCTGAGGGCCCTGGCCAGGCTTCCTCAACAGGCTTCCTCCTCTGGTGGGCTGAGCTTCTCCCCAGCATCATCCCCAGTGGTTATAGCTCCTCACCCTCTTTCTCATCTTGCTTGTTGACAGGAAGGGAACCACTAAGCAAGGAGCCATAGCATCTGCTCCTTCTTCTCAGCATCCCTGTTGCCTGAGCCAGAGGAAAAGATAATAATGAAAAATATGCTTTCAAAATTTCATTTTTCTGTAATTACATTAGCAAGTCATAAATAGTTTATAACTACACTGTATATATGAATTATAACTTATATCAGCTTTGCATTAAAATTTACTGTGAAGTTCTACCACTTTTATTTCTGTGTACTGACGTCCTTGAGTGCATTTTCAAAGAAGTGCCTGTTAGTGTGAATAAGGGTGCTATGCCAGGCATGTCCAGATCAAAAAAGGCCCTATAACGCCCAGTGTGTGCCAGCCAGCACGGCTACATGACTGCAGACTTTAGTCCTTGCCAATACAATCACAGAAAGATGAAATTTTGAAACTGTGTGCTTTATTATTCAAAAGACATTAGACTGTTAGAACACAGAATAATGAAAAGATCACTGTTTTTAATTAATTTTCCTCCTCACATTCATCCTAGCTAATTTGAAAACTCAGATTGTGAAAAGTTAGCTAACTGGAAAAGTTCTGGATTTCCCCTGGTATCAACAAGGAATTGAAGGTCCAGAGAACCTTCCACTAAAACATACCTCTCACAAGGGTGTGTATTCCTTTGGAACTGAAAGATCTGCAGTTCTAATTTGGAGATCATCCTTGATTGATGTGGATGAAGCATCTGCATAGTTCTGATGAGCCACTGGGCCTGGATACCCAGATGGCCAGCCACAGGCACTTCAAGTGCTGCTGTATCTGTACAGCAGCCCATGAAATGGTCACCTGTGAATGTGCAGCCGCAGATGGTCACATGCAAGCATCAGGAAAGGAACAGTTTATAGCTCTAAACACTGTAAGGTCCACAGTCAGCACCCGGATGCCACACTGCAGAGGGCACCAGTGAAAAGATGAGGACATCCTATTTCTCAAGATCTGGAAAACATGCTGAGGGCCAGGGAGAAACTTTGAAAAACGGGCTGCTTCTCAACCAAGCCAAGACGCCTCACCTGCAAATTGTCGAGTGCCCTTACGTTGAAAGGCCATGGACCTCTGTTTTCAGCACACAACATCCTCAGGGTTGGGAGTGAGACGGAACATGCTTTGGGCACACGTTCCCAAGGGCTGCTGACTGGTCTCCAGAAGAAGAATCAGAAGAGATGTAGGAGGGGACCTGAGAATGTGGGCCAGCCCCAGACATTGGGATGAGAGAAGCAGAGACACTTACCTGCTTGCATCCCAGCAATGGAGGAAGAACTGGCAAAGTAGGTAGGAGTATTTCTGGTGGTTGACTTCCTCCAGGTTTATGGTATTTTGTTGTCATCAAAAACTTTTTATTGCAACAGGCATGCAACCTTCCGTGTTGCTAATGTTTTAACACTTTTGCAAAATGCATAGATTTGTAATCTACTCTTTTTCATTGCCATGTGTAGTATAAAGGCTTGCTTTGTGTTTGATCACTTTGTGTTTGATGAACCGTTGCACTGAATGACATACTTTGCCCTGGTTATCCATTTGATGCAGAATGTGTGAGGCATAAGGATATGATCCAACAAAGTGTTTGTGCCCCTGCTGATTCTCCTCAACTGCATAAATTCTTTCGCACAACCAGAGCCCGCCACTTATGCAAAAGGGAGCCAATACCTCGAAGGGAAAACTGAAATGAGTGGAAATATGCATTTCTGGAAGGAGGCACATTATCAAAGCTCCTACAGGGGAGCTCTGCAAACCTGGCTCCTTTCCGAAATGAGTGTGAAGAACACAAGAGGAGCCATGCTGGGTGAGACCACGTCCATCTAGTCTAGCATTCTGTTCACACAGTGGCTAACCAGCTGCCCACAGCAA